TATATATATATATATTTTAAAAAAGTACTTCTGCCAATATTTCCAAATTCCCCGGGCGAACCGAAGCCTCCTCTCTTGACCCCGTTGTGCCATTATGGCTCCGGTCCTGTCGGCACGCAATGGCCAAATTCTCTCTTGGAGCAAGAGATCTGGAGAGGAACGGATCCAGGGTCTGCCTTCTTTCTCCCTCTTTGCAAAATGCCTGAAGGTGCTCCGGTGCAAATGGGATCCTGGGAAAGAGAGGCTCTTGCAAGGAGCTATGTACAAAAAGTGACATTACCCCCCCCCCAAAACAACAACAACAACAACAACAACCCAGGTTTATCCCTTGAAGTGCAATATTGTGAGAAAAGACTGAGATGAGGCAGCCAAAAATAAAAGCAAGCGCAGGCTGGGTTCCTTCTGAAAGCCTCTCTCTCCTTTTTGCTCCATTATGCAACACATGTGCGCTTGCTGTATGATCCTTAGTGCCCCTTCCTTTCCTTTCCTCAACCCAGATTGGATATCTGGCATTTCTCAATGGGAAAAGTCTTTATTATTATAGAGTTCTCGGCATATTTCTGCTTCCGTGGGAGATTAGACAAGATCCTGAGGTGTAAATATTTAGATCTGCTGAGTACTAAAGTTAAGAAGATCCTTCCTTGGAGGTCTTTAAGCAGAGGCTGGATGGCCATCTGTCACAGGGGATGCTTTGATTGGGAGTTCCTGCACGGCAGAAGAAAGGGGTTGGACTGGATGGCCCTTGGGGTCTCTTCCAACTCTAGGATTCTAAGATCCATGCCATCGTATTTCCCATTTCTATGTTGTGAAAATGGATGACGAGGAAAGCTGGTAGGATGAAAATAAACTCATGCATTTTGGTTGGCCAATAATAATAATAATAATAATAATAATAATAATAATAATAATAATAATAAATTTTTATTTATATCCCGCCCCTCTGCCACGCAATAAAGGTACCGTATGCTGAAGGAAAGTTCTGCAGATGAAGCCACCGCCTTTGTTCAAACCTTTGCCAATGGATTTTAATTTGCCAATATAATTCAATTCGGCATTTTCTCTTCCTAGTCTTGCTTTGTTATTGTTCGAGGACTGAGGATCCCTTTAGATCCCTTTCTGGAATCGGTCCGCAGTTTTCAGTTTTCCAAAGGCTTTCTTGGCCAGATGTCTTCAGAGGAGGTGTGCCGCCATTGCTTTCCCCTGAGGCTGAGAGAGTGTGACTTGCCCATAGTCACCCAGTGGGTTTCC